TCCCAGAGGAAAAACAGAATGTAATCATGTAAGTAGAGACTGGATCATCGTCCATGCACACAAAGAGGAGCAAATAGAGCTTTCCACAGGTTCAATTCTGGCATTTTCCAACATCTGAGTGCTTAACTTTGCAACCATAATAATGTATTTTTAATTTAATGTTTGTTAAAAAAAAAAAACCCAAAGAATTCCCCAAAAACCTCTTGAGATGAGTAAAAATCTAGTACTCTTGGTTCAGCAATTATACATTTTATTAGATCAACTAGGAAATCACAAAAAAAAAAAAATTTTCTGCAAGCTTTAGGGCTACCAAGTACATTCTGGAGATCAGTGATACTGCTAAGTGAGGAGTATCCTGTCCTTACTGCCTAGGACCTCCCACCTTTTATGTGTCTTTGTTGAAGTCCCAAGATGGAAGTTGCGAGTGTGTGTCCCTCCCCACCGGGTGCGACATGCTGCCTTTTGGATCAGATGGTGGCCCGGCCCTTCGGAAGGAGCGTTTCCTGCCAGATGTGAGCAAGTGGTGATGCATCTCCTTTTGTCCTGGCTTGCTTTTAGTTCTCAGAGGGTTATGGAGAACGGACAAAGTTAAGAGGAGCGCGTCTGCCTGGCAAAACTCCTTGCGTTAGGGAGGGTGTTTCCTTTTTCCATTTCGCTGTGCCCTAAATTCTAATAACACAATCATGCTATTTTTGCTTCCTTATTTGCGTGGAAAGCCTGTTTTGTTTTTTCTTTCCTCTTTCAGAATCCAATTTTCTCTTGACATTTCTGCCTAATGTAGCAAAACATGACCTTTGTGAAAGGACACTTCCAGCAAGATGTGCTCTCTCCCCTGCATCTCTCTCTCCCACATCTCTCTTATGGATCCATCCCCTTTTCAGAGCCTTGTCTGTGCTTGGGGGTTGCAAAGCCTTTACCATCTGATTTTCCTAGAGCAGCAGGGTCTTTTGAACCTTTTCCTCACTGAGCTGTGTGATGCCCCTGGAGGCTGAGCCTTTTATGAGGGGCTCTGCCACCCTCTTTGCCAGGCTGCGTCTGCTATTTGTGGCTATGTTATATGGGTCTAGACAAATAGCCATACCTCATGTTATGCTGAGAATGTGTTAACTGCATGTATAGCATGAGCATCTGTATATTCAAGCAGTAAAACTTGCTAAGTGGTGTGATTGGGTTATAGCAAACTTACAACTTTTTTGTAAGAGGAGTATCTCTGCATCATATTAAGTAACACACATTTGGCTATCATCTGACTGCTCCACAGGGATCATATGAGTTCAGGTGCTGGGGCTGGCAATCAGCTGATTGTCCGTCCCATCCCTGGTACTGCATTGGCATCAGTTCAAGAATGACAGTGGCAGAGACGCAGTGGCCCACGCAGTGGTAAGAGCAGCAGCCTTTCCCAGGCTTGGTTCCCTGTGGCTCACTCTGCCTGCTGCCCAGTGGCAGAGGCCTGGCTTGCCCTGGTGTGCCAGGGGTAGGCACTCCTGGGCTGGACAGTGCTGGGCATGTGGCAGGGAGAGCATGGGCTCTGGGTGTGGAGGTTTCACGTCCCCACAAGTAGCTGTGCCAGCTGTAGCACCCAGTGCTGGGGACAGTATCTGGGGGTGGGGAGAGGGAGGAAAGAGTGGACACAGCCAGCTCCAAACCTGTCCAGACTGGGCTGAGCTCATGGTAAGCATTATCATGCAACTCTTCAGAATATGCTACAACTTTTAATATGGCACAGCAATGCCTGCTACAGTCTAAATAAAACATGTGCTAAGTGTCCTGTGTGACAGGCCTGAAGGAGCCTTTTAACTGTATCATCTGCAACGCTGTATCTGTTTATGTCTGCATGATGCTGTAGCAATACAGGTTAGCTGAATCGACCCGCTCCCCGCAATGAAGCAGCTTACTGCTGCAATAGTTTAACTATACTTTTTTGCTAGAGATGCATGCAGCTGTGTAATGGTTCTGTGCTGACCACTTCTATTGGTATTATTTGCTATCAATATAATAGCTTTTCCTGTCTGCACATCCTAGCCTTTCTTTCTTTTTTTTTTTTGTTTGCACTCTGGAAGCTAGAAATATATTTCCAGCACCCTGGGAATGGAGGGATCTTAGTTGCATGAATAAACAGCTTGTGGTTGTGCCCAGAATGATGCGGTGTGTCTTGGAGCCACAGTGCAATGACGTATTGGTGTCATCCTGTCCCCACTCAGTGTGGTGATATCAGTGTGAGCTGGCCCCCAGCCAAAGGGGATGAGGAGGAATTGAGATGGTTTGCTCTGTAAAGAGGCATTGTGCGCGGGCTCCACCTGCAGAACTCTAGAGCTGACCTTTTCAGGAGAGGTTGCTGTAAATCAGATTATCCACTGGGGCTGTGGTAAATTGTCATGGCCATTTTAAGTCCCACCGCAACCTAGAATTGGGGTTGACACACAAGTGACTTAAAGGCCCCATTTCCCTTCTGCTGGACTTTGCATTCTTTGTTGTGCAACTCATAATTTAAAGCACAGAGCCTGCCAGTGGGCCAACTGGGAGGGCTGGATGACCCACTGGTCTTGGGAAGGTTGGGCTGAAGGGACTGGTTGGTTGCGGCAGGATTTCTCAGGAGGGCTGGCTGCTCAGATGTAGCAAGTGTCAAGTTTTCATGGGCTCTGGACTCCCTGTGAGAGCATGAGGGAGGAATCCTTCTAGGCAGAATAGGTAAAGTCCCCTTAAGGAACCTCTCTGCCCAGCAAAGGCAGGTTGGGCTTGTAGGCCTTACCCTTCTGAACTATACTAGCCTGCTCATGGCATGGTCTTCTTGTTTATCCTGAGTTGAATAGCCTCCTTGCTTACGAAGCCCAGGCAGAGCTGGCGTTCGGAGTTGCTTCTCTGCGTTCAGTCTTGTTTAGCATTTTCTCTGATTCCACCGAGGCTCCCAGTGCCTGGCCTTTAGCAGACTTAGTTGCCTGGAGCTGCCTTTGTGCTACCTCCTCCCTTTGTCCCATCTCTTCTTTTGCTGGCAGTTAATTTAATGAGGCCCTGGGTTTTTTGTTGACATCCCTTGCATTTTGTTGCTATTCACAGCAAAGGGGGTCTCAGCAAGAAGGGTCTGTGCAGCCAGAGAGCAGCCACATGTGATACACTACCACAGCTGCACAGGCCTGGGTGGTGAGGGCAGTGGTGACCGCCTTAAAATAAGGAGAAGAATAACAGTTGGGGATGGGGGTAATGAGAAGCAAAGGGTCAGCTTTAATGGGAGGGACTGAGGACCTGCAGGGCCTTGCTAATGATGGATAATAAGGGTGCAGGACCCAGTGTTTGGATTGGAGCAAATCCTGAAGCAGCTCCACTCTGCAGATCATGTTCCCTAGTAGTTTGTTGCTGATGGGCAAGGCAGGGAAGATGGGTTGGCTTTCCCACTATCAGCACTCCAGGAATGTGCTCCCAGGTTTGCCGGAGGTGGTGTAACCATGTCCTGCCTCCTGCACTTAGGGGCTAGGATTTGAGATCCTAGGCTTCTCTGTGGTTTTGTGACTGGAGAGTCTTGGCAATAGGCATGAGGTTCAGTGACATTTATTGTTTTAGCCTTTAACTGGTGTCCAGACTTGGGGTTCACCAGTAATTCAGTCCTACCCTTTTGGGTTCTTGCTGAGGAAAACATGAAAGTGCAATGGAGTTTGATGCGGGGGTTTCAGAGTGAATTAGAGGAGGGCTTTGCATTTGGTTACTGCTTATCCATGATGGTGATAATGGCTTGAAGCTTTGTGAGGTCTCCCTCATTTTTGCAGTACAGTTTTACCATAGCTGAGTCTTTTCAAGTGCAACGGCTTTGACTTGTGTGATGGCACTTCATTGCTACTGTGGCTAGACTGGGCAGCCACTTGGGATGTATAAAGCTGTGTCCTCTGGTGGGGCTGAACAGTTTGCCTGTTACAAGCTTTGTTTCTTTATTGTTTTCCCTTCACCAAAAAAAAGAAAAGTCAAAGGCAGCTTCTTGCTTCTTTGCCTTCCTGATAATGCTCCATCCTCTCTGAATTAGCCTTGTCCCATGGTCTCTCTCTCTTGTTTCCAGATCGTTCATCCCTCTTCTTCCTCCTCTCATGCCACTATTTCCCAGGCCTTTACCTGACTCAGGTGATGTAGCAGGGATGCTGATTTCTAAAACCTTCCTGGACAGAACCGAACAGGTTTACACTCTTGTGCTTCTGGCATTGAGTGCTGCCAGATGGCGATTGTTTTCCATAGCTAGAGTAGCAGCCCATGGTGCAAGTGGTACAGGTCTAACTGATACTGCCAACACACCGATCTGCTTTAATTTAAAAATCTGACTCTCTGAGTTAGTACTAACCTCTCAGATTGTCACCACTGACAGAATTTCAGAGGCTGACATTTACTCTTTGCCACTGTTTGTTTCCTTTATTTCACTAGCTTTGCTGAATGATTGGTTTGCCATGCTGTTTAGAGCTGGCTTACCTTCTGGGTCATATATACAGTTCTTATATACAGTTGATTTTCCCCTGTTTGGTTGCGGGAGGGGTGGGAGGAGGATAGAAAGTTTGCATTTAGTCTCATAACGTTTTTTTCCTAAGCCTGAAGTTGGGTCTTCAAACTACTTGCCTATCTCCCTGTAAATGTAAACTGGAGTGGAAATGATGAGGTTTGATGAACCTTGTAGAATCCAGCACCGAGGGAATTAATAACCAAGCATTCTTTCTCTTGTTAATTTACAGAGACCTCTCTGGTAACCGGCTCACCACGCTGTCGTGGCAGCTCTTCCAGACGCTGAGGCTTTTTGAACTGTAAGTTCCATGCTGGAGGTATCTCCCGGGAATGAGGAGGGGAGGATGAAAGGAATAGGAGGTTAAAGGATTTTTATAAAGACCTGTTTTGAAATCTGAGAGACAAGAGTGTGGATAATAATGTAAAACTCCAGTGGGCAGAGTCATCTCTGGAAGGGTTTCCTGGGCATTGAAGCACCGGAGCAGAACTGCTTTTCTGTTAATGCCATAATATCGTGCGAGTTAACACCAAAGGGCAAGATGATAAAGCTGTCTCTGGGCTCATAACTGGCTGACTTAAATCCAGGAGCATGATGTTAAAAGGCACCAGGCCAGAATTTGAGTAGCGTTCTTGAAGGGCCCGGTCTTGATCTGGGAAAGTCTCAGCTCCCATTGATTTCCAGGATGTGGCTACTATATGGCCCAGCTTCTCCAGTGTTGAAGGGTGCATTTCCTAAGGGGTGGCAGCTTTAAGGTTGGATGAGCCCTCAGCTCTTCAGTAACCAATGCACCTCTCATATCTTATGTGGGAGATAGGGTAGTGCCTCTCGGGGCTTCTGATGCCCACAGCCTGCTGAATTATTGATCAAGCATTCAACAGAGCATCTGAAGAATAAGTGGACATGAAATCAATGGAGTGCTGCCCTGGTGACCTGTTTTGTTGAGTTTTAGAAATAGTTGTTTGGTGGATATAAAAATATATATATATATGTAGGATTTATCCCAGAGGATCATGGGATATTCCATTCATCCTCACCTGTGATCAATAGAGCTGTAAGCTAGAAGTGACTTATGAAAGAATAAAGGCAGTCTTTCAAGTGGGAGTAAATGCGTTATCACTGGTATTACTGCAGTGTATTTTATTTCTGTCAAATTGTTAAATGAAAAATACTAATCGTGAGATGAGGAAATAAGGAAGCATCCATGTGATGGGGAATATCTGGTTCTTAAAGTAAAAATACTGAATTTGGAACTTGTCTGTGTGCTGATTGCAGCTTGCAACTATTTCAGATCCTGGCTCTGTTCACAAACTTGAGAGAGAGATGAGTAGCCTGCACTCCTGGCTTCCCATTTGGTCTAATGGTGCAGACTGGCAGTACTTGTGTTGGGCAGAGATCTTTGGATTCAAAGCTGCCAGAATACCATAGATCATGTGAACACCTCTAGCACTTTTCAGCAGTTTTGCCCATTTGGTCATATTACACTTCAGGTACATCCCATTTTGGTACATGTTTCTGGCCAAAAAGATTGCACAGGCAATGTGGGAGACCGAGGATCCTTCATGTTAGGGAATAGAATAGCTGTCCATACCAGACGGAGGGCATGAACCAAGAATCCTTTGGCCTTACTTCAGGGATTGCAACCTGAAAGCAGATCGGATTGAATTGGCTCCACACTGCAGCCGTGATGTAACTCATAACCACAGCCCTTTTACCGTGAGCAGGTGAGCTGTATGCAGGAGAAAAACAGAAGTGGTTTAAACAGTCCAGTTCCCTTTGGGGCCGCATTCCAGGTGGCTTTCTTGGGAGATAATGAGCCCTGACTGGAGGGAGAAGGGAAGTGGATAAAGCTGGTGCTATTATTACGAGGAGGGGTGGTGTCAGCTTTCCTTTCCCCATTACAGCTGGACAAAGCAAGCTTCAGGGAAAGCAGTACTTGCCAAGTGATTTCTTCCTAAGATCTCACAGTGGCTCCTAATTTGAAAGCCCTGGGGCTTAACTCTGTCACATCCTTGTATCGAGAGCTGGGCTTCACTTATGCCTACGGGGGATGACTTCCTTTGAGCTGAGGCAGAACAAACGCACAATTCAAATGTCTAAGAAGCAGACAAATTACAAAGACCTTTGATTTTGGATGCGTCTCATGGGAGGTTTCCTTATGGAGAGAAGCCCCTCACCAAGGCTGGCGGTGAGCAGTAGAGCAGGGCAAGCAGGCTGATCTAGGAAGAGAGAAAGGAAACATTTTCTTTATTTGAAGTTTATCACGGTACCAGGGTAGTGGGGTATGACAGGGCAGGGATGTGACAGTACAGGCTCCACAGAATTTGAGGCATGGTTGAGAGAAGACCAAAATGCTGTAAAGCTCACACTACAGGGCTGGTGAATCATGAACTCAAAGGTGCAAGGCAATAAAGGGTGTTAGGGAATGAGTCACAGGAGCACAACTTGGTGTTGTCCCTGAGGGCTACATGGCCAGCGTTCATACAACGAAGTATCGTCTATCTCCATGATTGGAAGAAGTTAGCAATTGATGGGCAAGGAGAGAATTAACTTTTAAAAATACCAAGAGGATCAGTGAGTAGAAGACGGGTGTGTTGAGCTTCCAGAAGTTTTTCAAGCCTTAAAAAAAGGAAGGGAAATATTTGTGGATCATGTGAAGCGACCGGGCAGCACAAGTGGAAGCTAGAGAGAGTCTTGTTGACTATCAACTTGAAGACGGCCAAATATCTCTTGAAAGGAAGAAGCTGATGAAAAGAAAAGATAGAGGCAGAGAGATGGCCCATGGAGAAAGGTCAGGTTGAGTGGGGTAAGCCCTGCAAGATCTTGGAAAAATAAGCATATTACTGAGGTACAAGAGCATGCAGTCCTCTGGAGAGATGGGGCAGAGAAAAAGGAAATGGGGATAAGTTGGCCTTTCGGTGGCAACAGCAGCTTTTTAGGGCAAAGGTGGAGCAGTTGTCACCAAGAAGACAGCCAGTAGGAAGTGAATTTTGGCTTGGGCACAGCCATTCAAAAATTCATGGTCCATGGCATTGAAAGGCAGAAAAGTTTGTGAAAGTGGAGACACATCCGCTGTGGTCTGACTGGATGTAGCACAAGGGATAAAAAAGATAGGAGGACAACTTCCTGAAGGACTTGGGAGGAGAAACAAGCAACCTGTGACAGAGAGGGATGGAGCGTAGGTCCTGACAAAGCCATTCACAGGAAGTGCAGGAGAGGAGAGAGTTGAAATAATAATAATATGAAGATCTGGCTGAGAACTGGGAATCTCCTGAAGAGCTGCAGCATTCAATAGCTGGGTGTTTGCGGTTTGGGCACTTGGAACCAAACAGCAGGAATGAAATGTGTTTTTAAGGCCACAGTTTCTTTCTTTCGCTGGTCAGAGCCAACCTCCTCATCCGGGTACAACCCAAGAGAGAACAACAAGAGGTCGCTTTCCACTGATGCTCTCCCTGCTTCCAGCTCCCACGGGGACAGAGAGCAAGCGGTTTTTTTTGTTCCTGGCATCCTTGGCTAAAGTTAATCCAGGCCTATTTTGTGTGGGCATAGAGTGCTGCAAAGGAAATCCCTGATCAAACTGTATTCAGCAAACCTCAAAAGCAAGAGGTGGGGGACAAAAATATACTACCTGCTCCTGGAAAGCAGCAGTGACCAGTGAGTGAGTCCAGCTCGCATGCACTTAAACTTAGTCTGAACTTGAGTTTCAGGTGTCCAGGTAAAGACTGCACACATTCATGTAAGCCTGCTGTGCATTGTGTGCAAGGGATAGCATCTGAGATTTGCAGCAATGCAGACAGATTGTACTTTCCAACCTTTTTATCCAGGGGCCACAGCTGGCTTCCTTTATCATGTCTTTGGACAGCTTGGAATTACATTTCAGGAGACTTCTCTGCTTTTTTTTTCTTAACAAATCAGCTGTGAAAACTAACTTTCTCATGACACCAAAAGGTCTAAGGTTTTTGAGCCAGTTGTCTATTTGCTTTGTTAGGCACTTGTAGTGATGGGAACCCACACTTTGGCCTTCAGTCCTCCTGAAGCAATCTGTACCTGCTTCTTTACCCTGCCAGACTTTCTGTAGCAGTGTTCAAGGCATGGGACATTTCTGCAAATGTCTTAAGCACAGGTTAATATCTCATGTGCTAGAGGCTTGAGGACTTATTGCCACTAATAGCCACATGAATAGAATTGGAAATAGGCAAAAGATGCTTCCCTGCTCTTTTCAAGGGGCTAAATTGACAATTGGAAACTGTGCATCAATCCATACATGAACTCTTGCCTTTCTTGTTCCACCCCTTTCCACCAAGGGCTCTGAAATGGTGGAGATGGTGAGACCCTCTACAGAGGCCCAGAGACTGGGAATTAAATAAGAATAAATGGGCATTTTTCTTTTTTTTTGCCAGACGCTCCTTTTCATTCAAAGGCTCAGCAAGGCAGGATTGGACTCCCTGCCTGGGAGAATGTTTTAAGCTGCAAGGCTCCGGACTCTCAACCATAATTTTATCAGAAGCAAAATGGATATTGTCAGAGCACTTGTACAACTGGCCCGGGAAAGTTTTAAGACCCTCTTTGTTGGAGGCTTTCAAGAAGAGGGTGGAAAAGCACTGGGCAGGGCTGCTTTAGGAATAGCACAGCCTACATTCATGCTGGGGATTGGATAAGACCTGTGAGGTCCCTTCTAATCTTAACATTCGGTGATTCTGTAATGGAAATAAGGAACAGATTTGCTGGTCCTGTCCAGGACTTCAGTGCAGATACTTCTTGTTTCATGTGATGAATAGACCCTTCAAATCCTGGCCATGGCTCTGTGGGTTTTGCATGTTCCACCCAGCTGACCTACTCACGGTAGAGTCATTTTAGCATGAGCATACATGCAAATCAGTGATCATCTCAGCATAGTCTAGGAATCCAGAGACATCTGTCCCACAGTGCTTCTCGCTACTCCTGGAGCAGGATTGTCAGGGTAATTCCTACCAGGTAGGGTGTTGTGGAATGGAGGTAGGAGGCTTGGCTGAAATGGGTTGCTATAATATTAGCAGTTTCTATTCCACCCATTGTGGGCTGATCTGTGTTGAATGAACTGAATTAAAGACTTTATTCTAGGCATTACAACCAGGGATTGTGTAATTCCTGGATTGCAGAATGTGTTTAGGGACATGGATCTTTGGAACATGAAGTGCCTTTACACGAGCACCGAGGGTGCTCTGACGCTCTGTAATTCCAGCACATCGGAGCAGGCTTGATTAATCAAGTCTGCTGAAGTG